TGAACATGAGGCCCATTCATACTTCAGCTATGACAGGAAATATCCTCTCCATAGTAAATTATGTTGTCACTTTACTTTATCCTCCTCATTTACATAGGGCATATCCCAAGTAACCAATGGAATCCTCTAGAGGGTATTTAAACTCCCAAAAATTCTGTAATGGGGCTCTTGAGCCCCTACGTTGGGCCCACTGCCACACTGTGGAGTGTACTTTCATTCTCAATAAATCCCTGCTTTGGCTCTTCGTGCTTTGTTTGTGCATTTAGTCCAATTCTTTGTTCAAGATGCCAAGAACCTGGACACCTTCTACCGGTAACAATTTCAGGTCATCTGACTCTTTACCTCTCTACTAGAGACTCATTCTCGTATTAGACCTTGACAGCAAGCAGCTCTGGCCCACTGGTTCATAATTCTCTGGAGAACAAATCCAACCCAGTGCTTCCATTTCTTTCATTGTTTTGGTTCACAACATGGAAAAATGACCTATGAGCACTAAATAAGCCTAAAAATAAAATGCTTTTAAGAAAACTTTGTTAAGCAATGGTATAATAGTGGACTTTTAAACTAGACCCATACAATTTGGCTTTAACCAAAGAACTTTTTGGAGAGTTTGTGACAGTTTAAGACACAGTGCCAATTCTTAAGAAGAATGAGGCACAGGATTAGACAAATAAAACACATAACTCTACAAAGCAATATCACAACATTAAGTGCATTAAATTTAACGATGAAGACCTCCCTGAGGGCTACAGTGCTCTGGGAAGATTTCATGTAGGAACCAAAACTAGAAGGTGCCCATTATCTGATGTATAGGAGTTGAATAGGTAGTGTCTATATTGTTTGACTTGTATCAAGTTAAATTCCAAGTATAGAATTTTACTTGAGTCTATCTTTAAAAGGACAACAAAAAATAGAAAATTTAGGCAATAATCTGATACTATCAGGAAATAGTCTGGAAACCTATTAGAACTATTGCAGAGTATTTGGACCAGAATTTTTAGAATGGACCAAATTGTATATCGATTTTCAACTTTCTTCAATTTGCTTCCATAAACCTATGTCTCTAAGCAATACTAAAATTGTACTATCTGAAAAGATATTTTGGTCTACACAGTGCAAAATGTTCAAAGCAGAGTAGTGTGAAATAGAAGATGTGTGTATGTACACACATATGCACACACGTGCACATGTACCCACACACCCACAGGTCCTGGCCCTGTTTGCCTGGAGATCTATTACTCACCCTCTCCCTTTCTGCTTTGTATAGCAGCGGTGCTGGCCCTGCAGGCTATTTTCCAGGATTTCCTATTAGTTGGCTGTCATCTAAAGTGAGCCAGTGGGAGGCACTGGAGAGAGATTGGAAGGCTGGAGGAAGGAGAAGCCAGGGTATTTCTCCTCCTGCCTCAGGAAGTGTTTAAGTGGCTGGAGCTTCTGCTGCACAGGCCCACCATGGTTCCAGCTCCTGCTGGGTGACTCCAGCCCTTGGGCTCTAGTAGTACCATCTTCTCCCTTTGTTTAAGGAGGGCATCCCCAATGGAACTTCTTTGTTTCAGGAGAGTATCAACAATTGAATTTCTTAGCTCTTTCATGATCTGAGGAGCCAAATAAAATGCCCTCTGTTAAAAACTCTAAAATTAGTTTCTGTGTTAATGGCTAAAAAATGGTACAGAGGGGAAGGCTTTTCCTTTCCTTCTATTCCTTGCCTTGTGGAAAGAGCTCCATTATGAAATAATCCTGGCTCTTCTCTGTCCTGTCTCCACTTACCCACTTACAGAGCAGTAAGTTAACTTGGTTGATAAGTATGGAGGAGTAGCCAGGCATGCAGAGCCCAGCCTCCTCCTTTCCCTTTCTTTTGGAAGTCAGTCCACTTTCAGTCAATGTGTGCTGTGCTCTGCTCTTGGCCATATGGAAAGAGTCTGGCCCTCCAGAGGATGCTCGTAGGTTTCCAGGGTCAATATGTCTGCCTAATTTTAAATTTCTGGATTAAGAAGCCTATTTGCATACAGACACAAGCATGTTGTGCTTTATCAGCATTGTCAGTAATAAAGGAAATATTTTTATTCCCCCATCTGTATCACTCTTGTTTCTTATATCTTAATTCATTCAGAATTCAAACAGGGAAAAAGTTCTTCATTAGAACCCCTCAGAAAACCACCATATCTAATATTTAAATATATAATATCTTAATTAATCCTATTCCTAAATTATTAGATCAGTTAGAAACAATAGCTCACCTTAGAGATTACAATGTGCCAGGAATTGTTCTAAGTGCCTTAAATATAACTCATTTAATCTTCAAAACAATGCAATATGTATTATTAAAATTCCTGTTTTACAGGCAATAAAACTGAAGATGTTATATAATTTTCCCAAAGTCACACAGATAATAAGTGATAGAATCTGTAATCAAGCTCCAATAGTTGGGCTATAGGATCTGTACTCTGAAGCACCATGCTATGCCGCCTAAATTTAGATTTTTAATAGATGATTTGCTACTTCATCTAATGTAATTTAATTTCCAGTCTTAGGTAACATTGTTTTCAAATACCTCTTATAATCCAGCATATAGTCTCGGTCACTTCAACTATGATTTAGAAATCTACATTATTTTCCTCTCAAACAGAATCCATTCCCACTGAAGACACTACTAAGCAATGTAGATGTTACTAAACATTTCATATAAGAAATGAAAACAGGGATTTGTATCAAGTACCTGAGGGGAAACTACAGTGTTTTATGTGATTGATGCATTTCTGAAAACACCATTCTACTCAGGAAACTGGAAAGATCATTATCCCATAGAAATAAATGTAAAGGTATATTATAATATTCTAAACTTTCTATTACAAAAAAAGTTAGTAATATTTTTATGTCATACTATTCCAAATTTGAATAGTTCAACTTTGCATAAAACAAATAAAGTATATAAATATTCCCCGTGGATTTCAGAATGAGGAAGGAATGTTCTTTTCCATCCTTCTATCATAGAACAAGCTAACTCTTGCCTCCAGCTTCCTAAAATCTTAGTACTCAACTGCCCACACACAAAAGTTTTGTCCTTTATTTCACTCAGCAATTTAGTCCTACTTCTTTCCCCATACCAGCTTATCTACACATGAGTTTAAACAAAGATCTCCCCATCCACAGGAGCCCACTCTTCTTAGAAAAGGGAAGGAAGTGGATAGAAGTATATAGATTAATACAATGTTGTATGGGAGCCAGTTTATCCCAACTTGAAGAAGCCAACTGCTAAATTTTCAGGAATTTTACAAGTGGTTCTTAAACATGGCCATTATTAAAAACTGAATTATGGCTGGGAGTAGTGGTTCATGCCTATAATCCCAGCACTTTGGGAGGCAGATGCAGGAGGATCACCTGAGGTCAGGAGTTCGAGACCAGCCTGGCCAACATGGCGAAACCCTGTCTCTACTAAAAATACAAAAATTAGCCAGGCCTGGTGGTGTGCACCTGTAGTCCCAGCTAGTTGGGGGGCTGAGACAGAAGAATCACTTGAACCCAGGAGGCGGAGGTTGCAGTGAGCCAGGATGGCACCGCTGCACTCCACTCAAAGATTATCAATACTCAAAACTGATTGCTTTCTAGTTATTTTACTATTTACTTTTATCTGTGCTCTGGGACTTAACGTCTTTTGTGTCTATGTAACACTTATATGGTGAAAATACCATATAAAGTATTCTGCAGCGCATCACTTCCCAACTGTGTGTTCAGTGCTGACATACTGGTAGCTTGAAATGAGCCACGATGGAAGAAACTAGGCTGCAGAAATTGACAAAGTTTATAACTAGAGCTTTTTTCCGTCTGGAAATCCTATGGTTAAACATTTATTAGCACGCCACTAGATACTTGGTTTGATAGAGATGGATACATAAATTCATATACTCATACATACATACATATAAATGTACAGACATAGAATTGTAGATAGATCAACACTGGCTTCCTATAGAAATACCTCTGTATGTTCTTTAATAAAAATTCTTGCAAATTTCAGTGAAACCACTGCATATTATATTTCCCACTGGAATATAGAGCATGTGGTTTCACAGAGGGTATGAAAAGTCAAACTCAAACAATCCACTGAATCTCCTTTCATGTAAACAGCCAACAATAGAGAAAAGAAACTAACAATACAGACCATGTACAGCGGGCACAAAAGGCTCTTTGACGAACTAGGAGGAAAATGCTGAGCCAGCACAAGTTCCCCGGAGCAGATTTATGTATTCTAAATTATAGGTGGTCAGCATAAACATTCTCCAATAGTAGGGCACACTTAGAAACCTCCTCTCTAAACAAGAAAAATGATATTTTAAGTTGCAAGGAATGGTTATCAATTTCTACACAAGAGAGCAAGACCAAGCAAATTTGAAAAACTTGCAACTAGAGAACTGGGGGCTGACTTTGTGAGGAAATTTTCTACACTCCAACCTAAGTAGGCAAAATACCTTTCTCAAAAATGTAATGACACTGTATATCTAAGAAGTTTATTATATTGCTTATGATAATATACAGTAGTAACTGCAACTTGAGACCCCAAAGAGCAGAGATAGCCCTGCTTCATGTTTTATTTGAAGTGGTTCATACCTGCTACAGGCATGTTTGCAAATGGAAAATACGTTTTTATAAAAAACGTTTAAATGTTACATGTTTTATGACGGTAGTTATAAACATTAAAATAAACATGGGCTAGAAACAATTCAATTCAAATATTTACGATGTTCAAATCACCGTTCTCATCACCAGAGAGATATAAAGATTATTCCCCACATTGCAGACATTCACGGGGTCACTGGGGAGACAACTAAGTGTAACCTGGAAAACCTGCTTAACCAGCTTGGAGTACCAATATGGTCACACTTTTAACAATTGAATTACCCCATTTCTGAGTTATCTAAGCTCTTTCTGCAACAGGAATCTTGGGAAGAGAGGCTTTTATTCAGTTCATGGAGACTGTTTGTAGTTCACAAGACAAAATTAGAGAGTTTGATCAGGGCACTGTGAGCCTTTATTTATAATTTTCATTACTTTTGTTGCTACCACCTGGTGTCACTATCGAAAATGCGTCCTTGCTTTTGGTTGCTAAGTCATCCTTGCTGAGTCAGGTTCTTGAAGAGGCTGCAGTGATAATTCGTGCTTGGGCTCCCAAAGTCTCATGTCCTTTAGTCTGCACTCACAAACCCACCATGACAGGATGTCAGATTAGAGAAGTTTCTAGCCCACACTCAAGCTCTGTCACAAACAATTGACCTCCACAAATAGGGACTGTGGTAATGAGTCTGGGTCGTTAGTCAGGTCTTCACTTCTCAAAGCGAGCTCCCCTTCCGTCCTTCACAGCTTTTGTGACTGGGAACCACAGCAGGACCTTCTCGACCTATCAGAAAATTCTACCTTTAAATCTCTTAAAGAAAGGGATGGCATCTCCACATATCTCCTCAGGATATTCTTTAGCCTCTCTGCAAACATAGCTACCTCTTCACCAAGGATTGTTTCTGAATGTTGAGGGGTACTAGAGGGACAGGGGTTACATATGCCTCACACTGCAGGAGCAAATTCACCTTGCAGTTGTACAACTAAGAGAAAATATTTAGGTTATTCCCCAGAATTTTTTAAAAACAAAAATCTGCAAAAAAGGTAATATTCTGCTTCTACAAAGATTGATGGCCACTTTAGTCCTCTTAAAAAGTACTGTCTCACCAGATACACTGCAACTTAAATAATTTAGAAGGTAATCTGGGCTATGATAAATGTGTGCACAAATTCAATAGGAGCATAGAGCACCCGGCAATTAAGTTTGACTGAATGGATAAAGGGAGCTTTCAAGAGCCAAAGATATTTGATCTGGGACTTAAAGTGTGGGTTATGTAAACAGAGAGGGAAAGGTGTTTATGGGCTAAACAGCTCAAGGGAAAGGATGTGTAAATATTCTAAAGTAAAGGTGAGCCATTTACCTGGGTGACAGAACACAGGCTTCATGGGCAGCCAGTAATGAAGAGTGGGGAAAAGAAAGTTTACTGTAGACCTACCTTGTGCTCAGCTTTGAATATCATGTTAATGACTCTATTCCAAAGATGATGGGAAGCCACCCAAGGATTAAGAGCAGAAGAAGTAATGTATTTGAATCTGTAATTTAAGGAGATAACTGATACCTATGCAGAGGATGGACAGGTGAGAGGCTGGAGCTGTTCTCAGCATCCAGGGGAGAGAAGGCGCAACCCTGAGAGTAGAGGCAGTGGCAACAAACAGAGAAAACTGATTCTGGGCCGGTCACGGTAGCTCACGCCTGTAATCCCAGCACTTTGAGAGGCCGAGGCGGGCAGATCACATGAGGTCAGCAGTTTGAGGCCAGCCTGGCCAACATGGCGAAACCCTGTCTCTACTAAAAAATACAAAAAATAGCCGGGTGTGATGGCAGCCACATGTAACCCCAGCTACTCGGGAGGCTAAGGCAGGAGAATCACTTGAACCCAGGAGGCGGAGGTTGCAGTGAGCCGAGATCGTGCCACTGCACTCCAGCCTGGGTGACAACAGCGAAACTCTGTCTTTAAAAAAAAAAAAAAAACACTGATTCTGGTAACATTGCAGGACAGATTAGCAAACACTGGGGAATAGCAGAAGAAATGCAGAAGGAAAGTGATGCTGAGGTTTGTAGCTAGGGAGACTGGATGAAAGCTACACCATTAACAGTACTGGGTAACATTACAGGAGGAGAGTTGTAATGAGGCTACAAAATAATGGGTTTCCTTTAGACATACTGAGTTTGAAGTGCTTACAGGACCTTCATGTGGAGAAGCATTTTCTAAATTCACTTTTAAAAAAAGAGAGAAATGCTTTTATCTCTAGGTAATAAGTGATAATAACCGTGCCCGGAGGCTATCCAAATACTTTTCAACAAAATTTCTCATCACAAGCAAATATTCTGCTACAAAAACATTTCTAGCACCAATGAAACAGGGTAACTTAAAAATATATATATTATTTTTGTTTGTGTAATTATATAATGAATAAGACATTACAAATCAATGCAAAAGAAAAAGATTATTTAATAAATAACAGAGATTTAGAGTGGGTATTTAGAAAATAATTATGGATTTAGAGCCTTTCCACATACCATACACCTAATTAAGTTAAAAAAAAATAAAGTAGAAGAAAATGAAGGCAGTTATTGATCCAATCTCTGGATCTCAGGATGGAAAACATTTTGTACACTTAAAAGCAATGAGAAAAAATCCCAATGTTTATGATTAGTAAATTTGACAACATATAAGCATTTTATATATCTCTTTTAATAAACATTGACTGAATATAAAAAACTTTAAAAAGTAGCATTGAAATTTATTAGTCACAAATATGACAGAAAAAAAATATTGTTTATATATAAATATCTAGTATTATTCTTTAAGAAAATCAATAAGAAACAAAACAAAATGGAAAAACCTAGCCTCTATAGTATCTAGAGCAAACTATTAAAAGGTTATTGCGGAGACGGCTAATTGTGTCCCAATATTCATCCTCTCCTACTTCTTTGGTAATGGAACCACTAATTTTTAGCTGGGCATATGGTGGTCCAAAATAAAATTTACATTTTAGTCTTCCTTATAGCGACACATGGCCATATGACTAAATTCTGGCCAGTCGGATCTAAGTAGAAGTGTTGAGTACCAGCTCCAGGAAGTGTTCCCCCTTAAAGGAAAGGTCAGACCCTTCCTCCTTCCTGCTGGGAGTGCAGATGTGAGATGTCCATCTGGAGCAGCTATCTTGGAGTTTGAGTTGGAAGCCATGTTAGGGTGGCAAAAAGACCTGGTAGGATGAACCTGAGTCCCTCCCGATTGTGGTGTCTCTTTACTAAACTGTCTACTTCTGCCTCCTGTTAATTGACAAATAAATGTCTGTCCTCTCTAAGCCACTCTTGCTTTGGGGCTGTCACTTGCCCTCAGGTGCTAAATGTTACAAATATTAAAATCTTACTGTTCTATGTTCCCAAAATTATCAGAAGGGAATATAGGCAGTATAATATCTACTACTATAAAAAAAATAAGTACATAATGAAAGGAATTCACTCACAATGGGAAACAGTATTACAGGTCAGCAACATTCCCAATATCTCAAAAACCTCACTTTGTTGTTTATCTCCTCTTGTATTTCACCCAATTGTAAATCCTGTGATTTATGATTTATGAAAGCTCCTCAGTTGTACGCTCTCTGCTGACTCTGTAAGAAAGCAACAAAATCGCCACTTTGTTATTTTATAGTGGGCATTGGAGAATTAACAGCCTACAATGTTATAACAGCAAAGTCTTAAATATAGCTACCTTCAAAAATCCGTTGTAAACCTTCACAGTGGCATCACGAATCTGGCAAGTGGCCAAGATTTAAAAATATTGAATATTTCTTCATAACCAGAAAAAATATACCCCAGCTGGAGGTGTGAGAAAAGAAGGAGCTTGTCTCCCTCTCTTTGAGTTCCAGTGAGAAATTTGCTTGATTATAAACCAATTTGAAAAAGGTTACTCTTAGTTACCCCAACACACTTGCCTCGGGTATATGATCACACTGAAAACTACAAACAAGGGTAAAATGTAGGCAGTATCTCCAGGGTAGCAAGTTAAGAGTCAACACGATGCAAGCAATCATCTGGCCTATCTGGCATGGTAAGGAGGCCTTTGGAGGTAGAGGGGCAGTGGATTGGGGAGGGAGTGGAACAGGCACAGCTATTGAAAACTACAAAGCCGCCCGGGCACGGTGGTGCGTGCGTGTAATCCCAGCACTTTGGGAGGTTGAGGTGGGCGGATCACACGCAGTCGGGAGTTTGAGGCCAGCCTGACCAACATGGTGAAACACCATTTCTACTGAAAAAAAAAAAAAAAAATTAGCCAGGTGTGGTGGCGTATGCCTGTAATCCCAGCTACTCAGGAGGCTGGGGCAGGAGAATTGCCTGAATCTGGCAGGCAGAGGTTGTGGTGAGCTGAGATTGTGCCACTGCACTCCAGCCTGGACAACAAGAACAAAACTCTGCCTCAAAAAGAAAAGAAAAGAAAGAGAAGAGAAAAGTACAAAGGTTTGCAGAGACTGTGGGAACTTGGTTAGCTATAAATGATCTATACCTAGAAATATTGTTACTCACATGTATACAAGGAAAAAGGTAGCTCAACAAGCATATCTCAAAAAAAATTGAATGACTATTTTCAAAGAATCATCATCATTTCCCAGTTTTCCCCTTCAGGGGTGTAAAGACAATTAACTTCAGTGCAGTATTTGTTAGAGGTTGCTATCATTGGCAATCATTCTGACCAGAACAGTAACTGTAATAAAAACCAATGTAAAATTGCTTAATTAATGCTTAAATTGCTTAATTAATTAATATATTGGGGACAATATATTCCCCAGATATACACACTTTAATGGAATAATAGGTGAAAAGTTGAAGAAATAAATTTCTGAGAGCTTTATTTAAAGTAACAGAAGATTTGTTAAGAAATTTTCCAAAAGTACTTCTAATATTTTAATATTGAAGTCTGATAAACAGACTAAACTGTTGCTTTGCCTTGCTTTCTTTCAAAGAGAGTAGTTTTCAAAAGCTCTCAGAAAAAAATTAGAACAGTGAGAATCAGCTATATTAGGAAAGATCAGATAGCCAGCAACAGAAAGAGAAAAAAGAAAATAGCAATAAAAACTTCTTTAAGGTTTGTTACTGTTGTTCCTTTTTCGGTTCCTTAACCTTTTTTGGTAAATATTTTCTTTCAAAAGCCATTGATTATTTTAAGCTGTCCTAATATGATTACAGAGAGTGAAAATAAAGAATAAAAAATTCTTAGGTAGTTAAAAACCTACCATAAAGGATATTTTAAGTGCCTTTATTTTGAAATTCCAGTATCATAGGAAGTAAAACTCAAAGTAGAAATCCCCCAAACTAAGATTCCATTAATAATGTGTCACTCAGTTTGAATACTAGAAATATTTATTTAAACATAAGTACTGTTTTTTACTGGAAAAAGCTTTGTAAGACCAGTTTCCTCTTCTGGAGAGACCAGGGAAAATAAAAAGTGATCATCAATAATCACTTCCTGTCTTTTTTTGTCTTTTTTTTCTTTGATGGCGTCTCACTCTGTCACCCAGGCTGGAGTGCAGTGGTTCAATCTCGGCTCACTGCCACTTCAGCCTCCCAGGTTCAAGAGATTCTCCTGCTTCAGGCTCCCAAGTAGCTGGGATTACAGGTATGTGTCACCACGCCCAGCCAATTTTTGTATTTTTAGTACAGACAGGGTTTCACCATGTTGACCAGGCTGCTCTTGAACTCCCTGACCTCAGGTGATCCACTTGCCTCAGCCTCCCGAAGTGCTGGGATTACAGGTGTGAACCACTGCGCCCTGCCAGTACCTGTCATTTTAATGGAGGAGTATAGCCTTCACCTGCCACTCACCACCTCTGTTCCTGAGTCATGTGGGAATAACACTTAATGGAGAATATCTCCAAATTGCATCGATGTTGTAAATTTGGCTAGGGTTAACAGCCCATTTGTGTTCTTTGCATAAATTATAGAAAGGCCCTCTGGGCGGAAGCCTCTTGGTCCTTTTGAAGCATCTGCTCACAGTGCATGGCTTGGCAATCCGTTTGGCCCCATTTTCTTCTTGGCTAGGAGCCAGCGTGCAGGGTACATCTGTCCAGTAGTTCACGGTGACACTGTTTGCACCTGAAAGATCAAGATGGTTTGTTTGCCTCAAATTCTGAAAAATTCAAACTCTGAAAAATTTTCTCCACCTAAGTGAGCTGCATGGGACAATGTACCCCCCAGATATACACTCTTAAAGGAAGAATGATGAAAAATTTGAAGAAATAAATTCTTAGGAGCTTAATTTAAAGTAACAGATTTGTTCTGAAGTTTTGCAGATGCACTTCTAATGTCCAAACCACTAACTCGACCACAGATTTGGGCTTTTTCTGGGTTTTCCCAGCACTAAGAAGCCACAACTTTCAAGAAAACCAGAAGGGGCACAGCTGGAAAATTGTTACACTCAGGCTGTCTAATTTTTCTTAATTTCTACTTTATAAATAATCCTAAATTACTTTTCCCAGTTTTTCTTGGTTTCCTACACATGCTTTTTAAATACATATATTATTAATTCACAAGAGCAAGTCTAAATGATCATGAAGTGATTTTTTCTTATAATTTTTAAATGGCATTTTTATAAAAATAGTAATTTACTACTTTTAATCCCAATTCGTCCACTGTATCACAAAATTTACTTTCTCACAATTCATTGTGTTTATACTTTCCACATACTCTAAAAGTTGCTTCCAATTGTTGTGATTTGTTTTCTCACTTTTATTCAAGAAACAACACAGATCATTTGCATCTTAGTTATTTATTTTCCCTGTAGCAATATTAAATAATATTAACAATATTAAAACCTGATGGTGACTCATATTATCACATAAAATACATTCATGCACCGCAAAACAACATTTCAAAGACGGACCACGTGGGTTATAATCGAACTGAGAATTTCCTATCACCTAGTGACATTGCAGCCATTGCTAACATTGTAGCACAACACATGATTCTTGTGTGATACTGGTGTAAACAAATCTACTGCACAGCTAGTTGTATAAAAGTCTAGCACATACAATTATTATTACATAGTAATTACTATTACATAATGTAATAAATTATGTACATGATAATGATAATACACAACTATGTTACTGGTTCCTATATCTTCATTGTTAGAGCACATTCCTTCTATTTATATTTGTATAAAGTTAACTGTAAACAGCCTTCAGGAGGTTTTCCGGAAGAAGGCATTGTTATTGAAGATGGCGGCTCCATGTGGTTATAACTGCTGGAGACTTTCCAGTGTGACAGGATATGGAGGTGGAAGACATTGATACTGAGGATCCTGACTCTGTGTAGGTTTAAACTAATGTGCGTGCTTGTGTCTTAGGTTTTAACAAAAACACTTTAAAAATTAGAAATTTTAAAAGTAGAAAAAAGCTTGTGGAATAAGGATAAAAAGAAAAAATATTTTTATACAGCTGTACAACGTTTTTGTGTTTTGAGCTAAGTGTCACTATAAAAGAGTGAGAAAGTTTTTTAAAATTAAAAAGTTTATATAGAAAAAGTTTACAGTAAGCCAAGGCTAATTTATTATTGAAGAAAGAAAAATATTTTTAATAAATTAAGTGTAGTCTAAGTGTACAGTGTTTATAAAGTCTACAGCAGTGTACAGTGAAGTCATAGGGCTTCACATTTACTCACCGCTCACTCTCTGACTTACCCAAAGCAGCTTCCAGTCATGCAAGCTCCATTCGCGGTGAGTGCCCTATAGAGGCATACCATGTTTTATTTTTATACTGTATTTTTTTACTGTATCTTTTCTATGTTAGATGTGTTTAGACACACAAATACTTACAATTATGTGACAATTGCCCACAATATTCAGTACAGTAACATGCTGCGCAGGTTTGTAACCTAGGAGCAATAGGCCATACTATCACTATAGCCTATCTGTAGAATACGAGATACCACCTAGGTTTGTGGAAGTATATTCTCTTATGTTGGCGCAATGATGAAATGGCCTACTGATGCATTTCTCAGGATGTACTCCCATCATTAAGTGACACATGACTGTATTAAGATTTTTTCTCATAAAAGTTAAATGTATGTGTGTATATATATATAAAGCATATTGATATAATATATGCCATACTCACTTGTGTATATATAATACTTCTGAAAGATGACTAAACTCACAGAGATGTAGAAATCCACCAGACATCAAGTCTGTGACCCAAATTCTAAGCAGATCTTTTAAAAGTAGGCTACTATTACAAGAATTTGAAAAAATTCAAACATAAAAGATTGTCTCTGGCCATTTTTTCCTATATGCCACCCAAAAATACTTCAAAGAAGCTGGGCACGATGGCTTACACCTGTAATCCCAGCACTTTGAGAGGCCGAGGAAAGCAAATCATCTGAGGTGAGGAGTTCGAGACCAGCCTGGCCAATATGTTGAAACCCCATCTCTACTAAAAATACAAAAATTAGCTGGGCATGGTAGTGGGTGCCTGTAATCCCAGCTATTTGGGAGGCTGAGGCAGGAGAATTGTTTGAACCTGGGAGGCAGAGGTTGCAGTGAGCTGAGATCACGTCACTGCACTCCAGCCTGGGAGACAGAGCAAGAAAAAAAAAAACCTCAAAGAAGTTGTAAGAAAGGATAGAGACTGGAACAATGAAGGGCTGAACCATCCATTAGACATACAAATGATCTAATCTTCTCTATTTTTTCTATCTAGGCATTAACTCCAGTGGCCATATAGTGAACATTATTCATCAAAATGTGTGATGTATCTCTGCTTCCAAAAACAGTAATAGATTTCATAACCTGATACATTAAATAAAAAGATAATGTTAAGAATAATTGAAGTAAATGGTGATAACACATATGTGCATACATACATACAAAAAATAAAGGAGGAAGGGGAAAAAGGAGAAAACAAGGAGGGGTCTTCTTTACAGAAAAATGCCAGATAATAAATATAGGAGTAATAGATTTAGAAAAATCACCACTGAGTGAAAAGTTTTTGAAGAACAATATAGTCCTATGATCTCAAGGCATCATCTCACAGACTACTTTTTATTTTACAAGCACAATGGGTACTTTTATTGCAAAGGTCTATTGTATATCACATAAGTGAATGACCAACTGTTTATCATCAGTAATGGCCCAGATATCAAGTGCCTCCTAATGAGATGCAACAGGAGTGCACAAATGGTAAGTGGGACATTCTATGAGACAACAAGCCCACACTCCAAAACATGTCAATGGCATGAAAGTGGACAAACAAACAGAGGTGATTAAAATTCCTCAACAGTAAAACACGTTGCATGACTTTCATTAGATCTTGAGTTTAAAATATACATATATATTTGGGACTTTCTCTTTAATAATTGGGGAAACTTGGCCAGGTGAGGTGGCTCATGCCTGTAATCCCAACACGTTGGGAGGCTGAGGTGAGTGGATCTTTTGAGGTCAGGAGTTCTAAACCAGCCTGGCCAACATGGTGAAACCCCATCTCTATGAAAAATACAAAAATGAGCCGAGTAGTGGCCACCTGTAATCCCAGCTACTCGGGAAGCTGAAGCAGGAGAATTGCTTGAGCAATACAGAGGCTGCAGTGAGCAGAGATCACGCCATGCAGTCCAGTCCATGTGACAGAGCAAGACTCTGTCTTAATAATAATAATAATAATAATAACAACAACAACAATAATTGGGGAAACTTGAATATGCACTGTATATTTGATTATATTATTGAATCAACGTTAAACTTGTTGGGTATACTAATAATATTGTGACTATGTAAGTGAAAGCTCTTGTTCTTAGAGACATATACTGAGTTATTTAGAAATGAACTGTTACAATATCTGCAGCTTACTTTCAAATAGTTCAGGAAAATGTGCATGGGGAATACACAAACGTACACCTATCTATACACAGAGAAATATAAAGTAAAAGTGACAAAATGGTATTTGGAAACTAGGTTAAAAATTTAATGGTGTTTATTAGACTATTCTTTCAATTTTTGTAGCTTTAAAATTTTTTTCAAAATAAATTATGGAAGAAAAAGAACTGAAGGCAAATAGAAGGGAAATGGTTGATCGGAAAGATTTTCCAGATCATTCCATGCTGAAGATGGTTCCTGAAGGAGTTATGAACATGCCACCCCAAGATATGCTGCTCTGGCATATTGAGTTATCGGGAGAACCCGCTCCCGATGTTTAACATGGGTTCTTTTCTATTTCCCAAGTGTCTCGGCTGGGTTGAGAAATAAAAGGAAAGAGCACAAGAGAGAGAAATTTAAAGCTGGGTATACGGGGAGACATCACGTGTCAGCAGGATCCGTGATGTTCCCCGAGCGGTAAAACCAGCAAGTTTCTATTAGCGATTTTAAAAAGGGGAGGGAGTGCACGAATAGGGTGTGGGTCACAGAGATCACACACTTCACAAGGTAATAAAATATCACAAAGCAAATGGAGGCAGGGCGAGATCACAGGACCACCGGATGAGAAGAAATTAAAATTGCTAATGAAGTTTCCGGCACGCGTTGTCGTTGATAACATCTTATCAGGAAACAGGGTTTGAGAGCAGGTAACCTGTCTGACCACAATTTTTTAGGTGGGAATTTTTGTTCACCTGATAAGCCTGGGAGTACTATAGGAGACCAGGGCTTATTTCATCCCATCGGCTTCAACCATAAAAGACCGGACGCCTTAAAAGGGGCTGTCTATAGGCCTACCTTCAGGGCGCATTCTCTTTCTCAGGGATGTTCCTTTGGAGAACTAATAAATGTCCATGAAATCTTCACAATTTATGTTCTTCTGCCGCGGCTTCAGCCGGTCCCTCCGTTCGGGGTCCCTGACTTCCCGCAACATTGACTATTTTCAACTAAAGGTACTTTAAAAAAAAAAAAAAAAAAAAAAACACAGCAGATGGAAGAAGATCACTCTGACCTTCATTCTACTTTTTAAAAGCAGGAAATAAAATTCCCATGTGAGAAATGTTCTCCCTATACCAGAAGGAAAGCATTCTTCTTATCAAGGATGGGAAGTTGAGACTCAGGAATATCTTTACAAACGAATTTGGTTAAATTAACCCTTACCTTCCTAGTCACTTCTCTACCCAGTTAACTA